AAAAAAAATTCCAGGTTTTCTAAAAAAGAATCTCTCATTGGTTGGCCAAACAGATAGTCCCGCCCCCAAACTCGCATCATTGGTTGAGCCAGAGTTACTGTGTCAGGCTGGTCAAGATGTTCAAACATTCAAAAACATCCAAAAATGACACACTTCAGCTTTAAACAATAACCATATACCCACCCGATAGTTATGAGGTTCCAGATGGCCATGCGGGGGTCCAGGCGGTGTAGACTGATGGCCACTCTTGCCGCTGGGACCCCGTCCCCAGTGTTCAGCACATGTGTAGTGATGGGACTGTTGCTTTTCGCTGAAGAACCCATAGCTGTAAACCTACAATACATAGAGAAATTATGGTTTTAAAGAGAGGTATCCCAAAAAGTTGCCCCATCTGATTCTTTCAAGTCAGAAAGGATTATTCAAAACCTCTCAAAACAATACTGGTCAATAATAAAAATACAGACTCCTGTCAACATTAATATTGAAGTGGAGATTTTAAACTTGTACAATGAACATTAACATTACCAGCTTCTAACAAAACTATTCAAAATATGTTTAAGAAGATCTTAAGGTCTTACCCGTTATGAAGTCAGAGTCTTCTGGCTGTGCTGCTGTTTATATGAGGATGATCCGGACTCGACACTGTTTGATTAGTTTCATTGAGTTAATCAGCAAAACAAACCAGCGTAAGCACACAGGGTTAATGTTTAAGCCAACAGCTCTTAAAAACATGTTGGTATCACAAATCTTTAGAATATAAAGCACCGCAAAACAAAGACTGAATCTACAATCCTACCTTGAAGTCTTTTACAAACAACAAAGAGGGACAAACCGAGCTGAAATGCTGTTTGAGGGCAGATGGACTTTGACCTCTTGTAACTAGTTTGATTTGGTTTTTTACATGAGTGGAAAAACATAAGCATAATAAGGTTACTGTTCTACAACAGAAAGGGATTGAATCATATAGATCAATGGTTTCTAGTCTTTACAGACCCAGAGACCCCCATTATTATTATTATTAAAAAAACTAAATCGGTTTTCTTTGATTAAGAACATTAACTAACATCAGTACATTATGTAATGCTTAACAGATCATTAGTTAACAAGTAGTTAATAGTTAAAATGTCATGAAAATTGAAGTTCAATCATCTCCCCTAAAGTGGCTTCAGGAACCCCTGATGATTGTATAGATAACGGCTTTTAACACTTTGATCAAAATTCTGTCAATAAAAAAATAATTGGACAAAAACAATTTGAGCCTCTATATTAATATATACTGTACATGAATGTATTTTTATTTCTGTTGGTGAATACATTCATAACTGCAATGCAACAAAGTGATACAAACAAAACAGCGTTCCATAATATTTTACAGTAATATATAACAAAGAAATCACAAACATGCAGCAGGAAACCACTTTACTATTTTATGCCTTATTAAAAATGTATGCCTTATTTTTGTAAGTGTATGGACTTCACTAAATTTTTACATTAAACAACAAAACCTTTTCCTGATCATACAGTAAATCCAGTCATAAAACTAAATTGGCCAGAGCTGTTAATGAGGAGATATGAGCAAAAACCATGTCTAGTTTGTAACAGAGGTAGATGGTGGTCGTTGTGTTAATTCCAAAATTATCAATTATGAACAATTATTATACATTTTGTGAATTTTAATGACATTTGGGTTAAAATATGAGTGTATGTACATCTCAGTTTAAATCTTAAGTCTCATGTTTGGCTCATAAATATACATAATTGAGCTATTTTTTATATATATCAGGGTCTATCAGTTGATGTAGATATCGTTATTAGCATCAGCAATTTAATTACCCATATCAGTTGACAAATGTTGTGTAGAACCATAAAATGATTTATGTAGGATATCTGCAATGACATAGTGTGTGTGTACGTGTGTGTGTGTGCGACCGCATGTGTATGTGTGTGTGTGTGTGTGTGTGTGTGTGTGTG